AAAAAAAAAATAGAAAAAGTTGCAGGTGGCGGCCGAGCGAGGAAGAAGAAGAAAAAGGGAAAAAAAAATCTCCAGCTCTGGTGCGAGAGAGGAAGAGAAAGAGAAGCAGCACTGCCCGCTGCCCACCGCCACCAACGCTGCATCGCACAGGTGGGTGCAGTCCTACATTGCTGCACAGGCCAGCCAGCCAGCCAGCCATAGAGCCAGTCTGGCCGTGGCAAGCAGCTGTTGTACGAGAGCGAGATTCGACCATCGAGCACGGTCGACCAGAGCAGCTAGGTTGTGCTGCCGCAACCACCAACCACAGCGAGCGTGCCTCGCTGTGGGGACGTGTGTGGGACAGCCGTGTCGTTGCCGCAGACCGCCTCAAACCCTGCGTCCCGAGCGAGCGCTGAGATCAAATCGGTGGTGATCTCCGACCTAGATGCCCAATCGGCGATGCGGAATCGGATGGGCGCTTCATTCGCGCGATAATATTTTGGGAGCTTTCTGGCGAGCCGAGCCGAATCGAATCACGAGCTGCAGCCTGCGCACGTTCGCTTGCGGAGTTGGCTCGCCCACTGCTCACCACCAAGCGGCTTGGATCGTTCTCGAAGCTGGCCATCCGTGCATTTGTGATGATGATCTACGCCGAGTCCGCCATTCTGCTGTGTGCTATGTTGCAATGAGCTGTGCTGAGCTGTGCTGCGCCGAGCTGTGATGTGCGGTGTGGTGTAATCAGACCAAGGGAGACATGCCGATGCGGATCGAGGCCGATGGGCAAAACTGCTGCTGCTCCACAACCGCGGTGGGGAATTGCAAAGCTGAAGGCGGCGGCGGCGGCGGCGGCTCGAGCGCTCGTGCCTCGATTCCCGAGCTCGATTGGGCTTCCCGATTGGGATCCTCGTGTGGCTCCTTGCTCCACCACCACCACCACAAGCATCCGCTCCTACACATCGTCCATCCTACACATCCACTCGGCATGTCGGCGTCAGCATCGCGTGAGGCCGCCGCCTCTCTCTCGAATCGGCCCCAGCAGGGCACGTTGGCGTTGGCGTATCGTCGCTCGGTGGTGGCGCTGCAAAACGTGTTTGGACTCAACCCGGACTCGCAGTACGCCGAACGCGAGCCGCTGCTGAGCAATCACGATGGCGACGACAATACACCCTCGGGTGCGAATGGATACGGTGCGGTGGCATCGGGGTCGCGCGATGCCGGTGCCTCTTCGCGTCCGCGCATCCGCAAGCCCAAGAAGATCGTGTCGCAGAGCAAGGTGGAGGCCAAGGTGTGGTTCGCCAACGAGCGTACCTGGATCTCGTGGCTGCGCGTGTCGGTGCTGATCGGCTCGTTCGCGCTCGCCCTCTTCAACTCGGACGCCTTCTTCCAGCACCACAACGACGACCATCCCGGCCACCACAACCAGTACCTCTCGTCGGGCAACATCAAGATGTTTGGAGCGGTCTACGCGGGCATCGCAGTGCTGACGCTGCTTTGGGGTCTGTACAGCTACCAGCGAAGGGTGACGCTCATCAAGACCAAATACCCGGGCAACTTTGACGACCTCATCGGCCCACCGCTCATCTGCGCCGCGCTCTTCATCGCTGTACTGCTCAACTTTATCATCCGCGTCAAACAGCGCGACTACGAGGGCCATCACTGATCGCCTACCTCCTCCCTCAACCTCCCTCGGTTCGCGAGCTCGTTGTTTCTTCTCTCTTGGCATGCGCATAATCTATAACAGTCTCATACAAGCTTCGTGTCTCGAGCCAGAGCGTGAGCCCGTAGCTGGAGTTGGGTGGAACGGTGACTTAACAATCGTTACTGAAACGAAAAGCGTTTTGAACTGACTCAGCGTGATTCAGCATTTCACATGCAATTCGCAGCTGGACCCTGGCGCTTGTTGGGGGCCTGTGGGAGTGGAACGCGGTGACGTCGTAGGCTGGCTGGGCTGGGCTGGCTTGCCTCTCTGCCGTCAACTGCGCCTGGGCTCTGTCGACGTGGCTCTCTCACCGGCGGTCAGTGGCGTGAACAGCTCTTTGGCACAGCAGGGCAGGCGTGCGCTTCCACCGACACCACCACCATCACCATCGCCACCGCCACTGCTCTCGCCACTCTTTCCCGCCAACCACTCCTGGACTCTTAGCATGGACGCACCGCTGCCGGACTACTATCGTACGCTTGGAGTGGAGGCGCGCGCGTCAGCGTCCGAGATCAAAGAGGCGTACAAGCGACGCTCGCTCAAGACGCATCCGGATCGATTCCCCAACGCCACGCCTGCGGAGCGACAGCGGTATACGCAAAAGTTCCAGACGCTCGCCGACGCGTACTACGTTCTTTCGGACACGCAGCGTCGACGCGAGTACGACGAGCTGCGCAGCTCGCGTCCGTCGTCCAACTCTTACTTTGGCAGTGGGGTGGATTCGGACGACGACGAGGCAGCGTCCGAGTACAGCGAAAAGGAACAGAGCCACTCGGCCAACTTTTTCCAGTCGTTCTTCCCGGGCGCCTTCAAGCAGGAAGAGGGCCAAGAAGAGCAGAGCTACAACGCCAGCGACGACGCACGCAGGGGTAGCAGCCAGCCTGCAGCCGACGGCGTCTTTGCCAACGTATTTGAGGAGCTGCTGCGACCCGAGGTGCACCGCGTGGCGCCTGTTTGGAAGTACGTTGGAGGAGCCTCTGGAACGGCGCTTGGATTCATCGTGGGCAACATCCCCGGTGCGCTGGCAGGAGCGTTTGCAGGCAGCCAGTTGGGACGCATCCGCGACGCCAAGGGCAAGAGTGTGGCCGAGGTGTTTATGGGCCTGGGTGCAAGCCAGCGAGCGGAAGTACTGACGAGGTTGCTGCAGCGTGTGCTGTCGCAGCAGACGCAGACCGGACCCGTGCCGCAATGAGCGGACCTGGGGAAATGCAGGCCAAAAGGACGCGTGCGAATGCGGAAGCAAGACATTCGACACGCATCTTTCCTGGATACGACAAGCGACTGCCTGCAGCGGCGCAGGCGGTGGTGGAGCAGGCGCTGCTGGACAACGATCTGGCGAATGCGGATGCCGACGACGCGCGCTGGAGGCAGCTGTACGACGAGCTGGACACGCTCATCCACCGATCTCGCGAGATGCCAGCGCCAGAAACACCAAAGACGCACACGGGAAGCTTTCTCGACAACGATGACGAAGGACAGTACGAATGGGGATCTGACAGCGACGACGATTGCGAGGCGCAAGCGGTCAGCAGCCACGTGGAAGACGACGAAGCAAGGCAAGCGCAGGAGGCGTATGCGCGCTCGATCCTGCCCAAAGGCGACCTAGCGACGGCGGTGCATCGTGCCGTATCGGAGTCGCTCCACTCGAACAAGACCAAGGGCAAGGGCAAGGGCACAGGCAAAGGCAAAGGCAAGGCGACAGGCAGTGGAGGGGAAAGCGGTTTCGACTGGGATCCGAGCTCGTTGGCGGCACTGACGATGCTTTGCGAGGAGATTGCACTGTCGCAGGCGGCGTTCAGTGCGCGTCGTAGCATGTTTGCCAAGCAGGCGAGCAAAGGCAGCAAGAAGAAGCAGCGCCGGCTCGAGCAGCAGAGCCAAGCGCAGCCAGAGCAGTCTGAATAGGTGGATACAGTAGACCGACCGACCGAGAGAGCCACATGTATTAAGAATCGTAGTTTTTGCAATTTTTCAAAAGGTTACTTGCCAGCAAGGAGTGAGCTGAGCGTGCATGCGAGTCGGTGAATTTTCTGTATGTTTCGAGCATGTGCTCATGTCGCTTCGATCGCGTGCAGCCGAGGCGGCGCTGCTCCGATAAGAGTGTCGGAGCGGGATGGCCGAGGGTGTGTGCATCGGAATACCCGCGTCGAGTGGCGGTGCGCCCGCTGACCAGCAGCTCAAGCAATCCCGCCCGTCGGCCATCTCATGACAACCGCCGACAAGTGTGATGAAACTGAGACCCGGACCCTTTTTTTTTCCTTTCTTCTGGTGGCTGCGCATTCAAAGGCGCCGTTGCTCCTATCAAGGCTGTCCCGTGCATTCGTGCATTCGTGCATTCGTGCATTCAATGCATCGCATCCAACGGAGCTTCCGCAGCACCGCAGCAACGCAGCAAAGCATCCAACTCGGCCCTGCCGCCATCGCAATCTCCTATATCCACGTCACCTCCATCCCAGTCTCGCCCTCTGCTCACCCCACCATCCCACGCCGTGCATGCGTTGAGGTGCCGCAAGAATGACATCCTCGTACGCGCGCGTCCCCACCACCGATCCCAACGCTCCAGGTCCCTCGGCTTCCTCTTCGCTCTCGTCCTCGCCCCTCCAGCACGCCATCGCCACGCTCCATCCACACCTGGACAACGACGACCAGCCGTACGAACTCGACGAGAAGGCGTCCTTCCTCCCGACCCATGCGCGTCCAACACACCGCCAATCGCATCATGCGCGCTCTCACCACCCCGGGCTCAGCTGGCTGAGTCCCACCAAGCGCGAGCAGACCCATGCCATCCTCACCAATGCAGCCGAGATGGTCCAGCGCACAAAAACCTACGTCCTGCTCGGCGTGTGTGCGCTGCTCGCACTCTTGCTGCTCCTCGATCGATCCACCGCATCCACCGCGCCTGTCGCAGCAACAGCGTCCGCATCGGTCCCAACTTCGTCCATGTCGACTGCGGCGCCACGCCTCGAGGACGACATTGTGCTCATCACCAAAGTCGGCTCCGCTACCGTGCACAGCCGGCTGCTCATCCACCTTGCCGAGCAGCCGCTCTCGAACGTCTACGCACCCAACCGGCTCTATGTCTCGGATGCCACGATGCGCGTGGGTGAGATTGAACTCTACGACGCGCTCGCCAACGTCAGCGACACCATCCGCAGCCTCGACGAGTTCAGCGAGCTGCGCGCCCAGCTCTCCACGCTCCACCACGGCAACCAGGACCTGGGCGCCATGCACGACAAGGACGGCGGCTGGAAGCTCGACAAGTACAAGTTCCTGCCCATGCTCGCCGAAGCCTGGCGCCGCTTCCCGCACAAGCAGTGGTACGTCGTAGTCGAGGCGGATACGTTTGTATTCTGGAACCAGCTCGTGCGCTGGCTCGCCACACTCGACGCGCGTCGGCAGCTCATGCTGGGCCATCCCACCTTTTGCGACTACGACGGCGAGTCCACCATGTTTACGCACGGCGGCAGCGGCTTTGTGCTCTCCGGTGCGCTTGTCGCACAGTCGTTTGGCAAAGACGCCGACTTTGAGCATCATCACGACGAGCTTATCCAGAAGTCGGCGTTCGGAGACGCATTGCTTTCCAAGGCGCTGTACGATACGCCCGGGGTGACGCTCAAAGAGCTGTCGCCCGATGGGAGGGAGAGGTTCAACAGCGATCCGCCACGCGTGCTCAAGTTCCACCGCGGCAACTGGTGCGAGCCGCTGCTGACGCTGCACCACGTCACACCAGCCGACACGGCGCATTTGTACCGCTTTGCTCGCCGTGTCGATGCGCGTCTTGGCGAGCACGATTCGGTGCGATGGGGCGATATCTGGGACGAATTCCTGCCCGACTTTCTGCGCGTTGCTCTGCTCCGCGGCGGGGAAGATGGGGATGAAGGCGGGAATGGCGTATCGATTTCGGGATGGCAGGCGATCGAAGATTGGGATAGCGAGACCACCGACGTAGCCACAGCCTCGCCCGAGCAGTGTCAGAGCGTATGTGCCACCAACGAAGGCTGCGTGCTGTGGCAGTGGCAAGACACCGACTCCAAACGCAAGAGAGCAGGTGCTCCGGCAAAGGGACTGTGTAGATGGACCAAGGAGTTCCTCAGGATCGGCGTGACTAAACCGGACGAACCCGCAAAGACGACCGGTTGGATGCCCGCGAGGGTGAGAGAGTGGCAGACGGAGAACGCTTGTCCTGGACATACCTCGCTGTGGCAGCAGCAGCCGTCGTTGCACGAGGATTAGATTCGAGGCATTTGTACTTTTAGCATAGCAAATAGATTTGAGCATCGGCTTCCGAGTGCGAGTGACAGGCGCGGCCGCGACTGCACTGACTGCTGAGGAGCTGGATGGCCGTACTCGTGTTGGACACAGACGGTGAGAGTAGGGCTACGCATGCCATCGCATTCAAAGCCTGCACTTTGGAGCGGCTTGTGCGGTTGCAAGTGCATCGGCGTTCCAGGTGCAGGTGTTGCAATCCTCGGGTTTGGCGATCGAGCTTGAGCCTGCGCGCCAGTGGTGGTCAAGCAGAGCGCTTTGCAATTCCACACTGGAAGCTGGTGATGGTTGATGCACCAGCCTCGTAACATTGCACAAAGCCTCTCGTAGGCATGACGCGGCTTTCTTTCACCTTGTTTGGGCTTGCAATCCGCGCTTGCAACACGCCTTGCATTGTATTGTCTCGCTCTACCGCTCTTTGGGCAAATGATGCAGTGGCTACGACTTTTTGCTTCTTGCCTGGACCAAGTCGAGAAACTCGCGCTTGGCAGTCCAGTCGATCGCCGTCCTCTTCCACCTACCCAGCCCGGCCAAGACGCCAGCTACATCCTCGCTTGCCATTGTTACCCTGATCGTCACGCTTCGGACCGGCGAGCTGGCGATCAACTTGAGTGCATGTTTCCACAGCGGCTGGAAAGGTGCACTGACCGAGGAAGGCGCGGCAGGCGTGGGTGAGGCGTACTTGATGCTAACCACCACCACATGGCCCTTGGGAACGAGCGCAGAGTCCATGTGCAGAAGCGCTCGGTTGTTGCTCGTCACCACCTCGGGGAATATCACCACGGGTCCTGCCGCATTCTTGACCGCAGCATCGATGGTGCTAAACATGTTGGGCAGGTTGGTTGGGGGCAGGTCTCCGACGTATCGCAGCGCTTGATGGAGAGGCAGCAGTGCATATCCCGTAACAGCGAGGCTTGCATCGTTGACGCCGGTCATTCGAGCATTCGCCGACACTGCATTGACCTTGCCCTTGGCGCGCGGCGCATCGTTGCGAACAGGCTGCACAAACACCGCACCCGGATACAGCGCGGTAAGCACAAGCAGGTCGATCCAACTCGAGTGGTTCGCCACCACCACCTTTCCTGCTACTCTACCTCGGTAGTCTGGTGATAGACGCCAGTACCCCAGCGCTACCAGTCCAAGTCGCACCCCCACCGAGGGAAGCACCCAGTACACTGCGTACGCGACCAAAGCGACGAGCGAGCGAAGAATGCCCACAAGGCTAAAGACGGCGAGAAGGATGCTGCTGCGCGTCGAAACGGGCGTGAGGAAGACCTGGATGCCCGTGCCCGGATCGCGAAACTTGCTAAACTTTTCCGCCATCCTTGCTGGCCCCCCGCGATGATGGTGGCAGCAACAATGCAATCCCACCCCGACCAAGATTCGGGGTGATCCATGCATTTTTTGAGTCCAAGTGGCCCGATTCACCCCCCCCCCCCCCCCCCCCTT